CTCTGAACCGCTGCGCCACCAGGGAAGCCCCATAGCTTCTCTTCTAACCCAAGTCTCCTAGGATTTCTTCAGTCCTCAGAAGCCCAGATCCAGTGAGCCCTGCACCTACTTCAAGTAACATTTGCCACCGGATCCATCATTCATTCCAGGTTCAATGCTCAACGTTTATTGGCCACTTAGTATGTGCCAGGCATTGTACTAGGCATTCTAGCTGCAAAGATGAATAAACCACAGTGTCTGCCCTGAAGAACATCCGGATAGTGGACCGGACAAATAGAAATAGGAAGTTCTGATTCCTATTTGTAGCAGATGCTATAGGCAGAGGTAGACTCATGTTGCTTGGAATGCAGACTAAGGGGTCAAGGAAGGCTTTCAAGCAGTGATGACTTGAACAAGTCCTATAGGAGTTAGCATGGCAAAAAGTGGATTGGAGGGGTGAGGCATAGCCAACTGGGCAGAGGGAACAGCATGGAAAGGCCCAGAGACCCCAGAACAATGGGTTCGGGGAATCACAAGAAGCTAGGCAGCAGTAGAATGTAGGGAACCTTGGGAAGAGGACCAGGAGGTGTCAGTGGGAGAAATCACCTGAAAGACCTTGTGTGTTATGCTGAGTTTGGCCTTTATTCTAAAAGTGATGGGCAGCCACTAAAGATTTCTAAGCTGTGGAGTGACATAACCAGATTGTGTTTTAGAAGGGCCACTCTGCTAGAAATGAGAAGGTGAACCGTAGGCAGAAGCTGGCAACAGAGGAACAAATTAATTGCAGAATTAAGAATTTATGTATGTCAAAAAGCACCATAAACAAAATTGGAAAGCAAAGCACTTGGAAAGCATATTTGGCAGTGTTTCTTGCCCAAAATAATACTCTTAATAAAATTACATATTGATAATAAACATACCAATATCAAATAAATAGAAAAATCACAAAGAAGGAGGTACAAATGGCCAATAAGCATATGAAGATGCTCTTCACTAATAAAGAATTGTGAGTTCATATAACATTGATATACTATTATGTTCCTCTCAAATTGGTAAAGATTTGGTAAGTGATAGTACCCACCCGTAGTGAGGGTGCAGGGAACAGGGCACTCTCAAGCCTGCAAATAGAAGAGCGCCTTGGTACAAACTCTCTGGAGGGCAGTTGGTAAAATATATCAAAATTCTTAAAGATAGCCAAGCGATATCCTTCTCAGATGTTATCCTCAGGAAATAGTCCTAGATATGTGCAAAATTTAGCTACAAGAATGTCTGTTGCAATATTATTTACAATAAAGATTGGGAACGCATGAGATAATCACGATTGGAAGATTGGCTGCCAAATGAGGGTCCACCCACGTAATGAGGATGCTGTTGAACAGTTTGGGAGACCAGCAGAAAATGTTACGGTCGTGATATAGTGGGTGGAGTAGCACAAGGTGCAAAAAGTGTGTCCCATGTGCTACCATTTGTGACAAAATAGATACATACACGTGAAAATGCGTAACTGTCTCTGAAAGGATATACAAGTAGCTGGAGAGAAACTAGAGGCTGGCAGACAGGGCAGGAAAGAGAGTTACTTCCGACTCCAGATCTTTTGGTAATTCTTGAATTTTGTACCTGTGTATGCGTCACATATTCTACAATATAAATACACATTTTGAAAAGTGAGTTATTAAAGAGTATGTACAGTATGATCCAACCTTTGTTTAAAAAAATGCATGTGCATGTGTACATTTATACCAAAAGCAACCAAAAGATACATCCAAAAGGATAACAATATCTGTCTCCGGTAGTAGGATTATGGGGCGGAATTAATCTTTTTTTTCCCCCCTAATATTTCTACAATACACATGTGAGGCTTTCGTAATAATTACAATAAAAGTATAATATCTTTTCCCCAAAGAGTCTATCACAAAAGTCCGAGCGGGAGACGGCAAAGCAGGTCAGATCCAGGATGAGCGCTCCAAGTATAGCTCAGCAGTGACATCTGCAAACAAAACGTGTAATTAAATAACAGTCCCTGTTTGGGGGAGGGACGAGGAGAAGGAAGCTGATGGTTTGTTAAGGGGAACAGAGCTGAGGTTGCCTACCAGCTCTCTGAAGTCTCTGGACAAACGCACAGGAAGTTCAGTTCCACCATCTCAAACAAGTCCCAGGCAGCTTTTTTCTTTGGGATCATTTAACTTTGGGTCACAGTGAATGGAGTTCCCAGCACGCGTACCTACGTTACCAGACAAGCAGAAGACCTGATCGCTTGTTCTATGAGGTCCCATGAGGTTGTCCTCACCTGGTTCTGGTTTTCAACCTTTTTCTTTGGAAGGATGGCAGCAATCTTATCATCCCCACCTGTCCAGCTCTGCCCCAACTCACTCGGTGAGGCAAGACCCCTCTCCTGTTCCACGTCGCGAATAGTTACTCTGAGTCTTTCTTCATGGCACGAAGACCAAAGGAAGACCCTGCCCGTTGGAACTGGCTCCGCACACCACCTCTGACCTCGTCTTCATCCTTCAGACCCTAACAAGCAGTCTGCCAACTCACAAACTTCCTGGGCTGGAGCCTCAGGAAGAGGGGAGTTTTTGCACGTTTGCCTCTACTATGTGTGCTGCAGGGTGGATTTGAGTTGGGGTCATGTGAAATCATTTTGGGGGAAGAGGGCAGAGAGGAGGACATGGTAGGGGTGGGGGAGGATGTGGCAGCAGTAACAGCGTTTTTCCCTTTTTCCCTTCTCCAGAGGGTGAGCTATAGGCAGCCAACTGGGGGCCCCTGGATATTTCTAGCACCTTCTTGCAGCCCCCGCTGGAAGCCTTTGAGGAGCTATGTGAATATAACCTGTGCTGCTGGCTTCTGGGCCCCTCAGAAGTGATTGGATCCTGCAGTGTTGGAGCCTCTGATTAGACAAATAAGCCAGAATTAACTGTGTGTTTCCTTTCAATCTCTACCTGTAACTGTGACTCTTCCCCAAAGCTGGGGATGGGGTGAGGAATGCTAGGTGGACTGTTTGGATCCATGCTGGCCCGTCAGCAAGGAGAATAAACAATACACAGAAATAACTGCTGGGTCTCAGCTGCCTTTTCTGCCACTAGGAAGTCAAGTGTTAGGGACAATTTTTCACCTTGGGCTAAATATGAAAGGCAGCCCACGTACCATCATTGACGTAGTCAAGGTTTGTCACACATACTGTCCTGCTTTTGAATGGTTGTAACTACCCAATATTATACTTTGTAGGGCAGCAACTAACTACAGAGTAGTTAACAGCTGAAGCTCCGGAGTCAGACAGACTCGATTCAAATCCTAGTTATGCCACTTAAGGGCATGCAACATTGGGCTAGTTTTCTCTTTTTCAGTTTTCTTATCCATCAGATGGAAATAGTAGGGTAATTGCACGAAAGAAATGAGATTATACATGTAAAGATCTGAGGATAGTGCATTTAATAAATGCTCACTATTAATATTATTGCATCTGTATATATTTTAATTTGTACAATATTGTCTCACGGATCACACAAAAAATACATGAAAGTGCTTTGAAAATTTTAAAGCATCATATAAATTAAAGGTATCATTGGTAATAATCTCCTATGACTATTTCTCAACTCTTCCAACTCCTTGAAGACTGGGACTACATCCTATGTCCCAGGGCAAACTGCACAATGACAGGCAAACAAGAAGCCCTCAGTAAGTGTCTCTTACTAGACTGAAGCAACATGGCATCGCAAAAAGGGCATAGGTATCAGGAGACTAGGCTGGGATAAAATTAGTTTAAGGCAGGAGAGCCAGTCTGCAGTCATCATTTAGTCATTCAACAAATATCTGTTGAACACATTCTATGTGCTAGATATTGAGTCCAGGTAATTTCATCAAAAAAGAGGCTACAAGTTCCCACATAGCCAAGTCCCTGGGCAGTCTCCACAATGCCAGCCTACTCTAAAAGCACAAAGGCGCAGCCAGCGTTGTACACCACAAATGGCCCATTGCTTTGGGGGAAGCCCCATCCTACCTGGCTGCAAGCAGCTCTGATTGAGGGTTGTGAGAGGGAGTAAAAATGAGGGAGTGGGCCGCTTTCAACAGAAATGACAGGAACTGCTGCCTGTTAATTTATTTTTATTTACACTTAATTCGTCCGCAGTTCAGTCTCCCAGTCTATACAATGCTCTTTCCCCTAGATGTCATCTCTCCCTCTCCCCGTCCCTATGTGGTCAGCCCCTGGCCCACTCTACCCTGCCCTTCTGCTGTCACAGCTGCCTGCTGGCTGGGAGTCTGGGAGAATGGTATGTGTGGTCACCAGAGGGCACTGAGAGTGGGCTTCGATGGCATGTGAATCCTGGCAGAGTCTCAGATCCCCAAGTGGGAGAGGAGAAAGCACAAACCAAGACAACGAGTGAGGGAGGGAGGCAGGGCCTGAGGTTTTGGGGGTGGGGAGCGGGTTTGTATGCAGAAATCCAGTGCACAGACTCTCAGACTCTGTTGGCTTAACCAACGCTCCTGGTGTCTGTCTCATCCCTGGATTTGTCACAGTTGCCTTGAGATGCTGCAGTCTGTCAGGAAGCTGTGGAGGGGTCCAGCCTGTGGGCTCCGTGCCTGACGCCTTTGGGATGGTGCACCTGCCAGGCTCTGCCTCTGCCAGAAGCACTGGCCCAAGTCAAAGCTGCAATGGCATTCCCAACCTGTGACAGTCCTCTCCAGCTGTTCCCGCTGAAGTTAGGTCTCTCTCAGCGGCTGCCCTACTGGAAAGAGGATGTCCCTTGTCAGGGCAACCCACCAGATTCCAAATCTGCACGTCTCCTTCTTTTCACACTGGGAGTAGACAAAGAGTTGAGGGGCAATAGGAGGAGGAAGTAGGGAGAAAGGAACAGAACCCTGGGAAGGGCTCTTCACCGGTGGGTGCCTGGATGTCCCGGGCTAGGCTCGGCTCTAGAAAGGTGTTCTAGTTACATGGCTTCCTTCTCTCTCTGGGAGCATCTGCTGAGCTTCATCTCCGTCAGCTGGATATATCGAATCACGTTGGTGTCTGTGAGGAGAGAAACACACCTTAGGGAGCAGCTGGTGAGGGGAACTCTTGGGTCTGTGGAGAATCAGACCAAAGCTGTATCTGCAGACCATGGACAAGCCAGACTCGTTCAGCCAAGGTCCAGCGTGGCTGAGAGGGCAACCAGGATGTGGTTCCTCTCCACTGCTCCGCGTCTCCACGTGGACAGGTCCCTGTGACCCAGAGGACAGACGGCAAGGAGAGGAGAGGCAGGGGAATTTCTCCCCTTATTTCTATGGAGCAGCAAACCCCAGTGGTCCTGAGTCAGCACAGTTAGTTGGAGTTTAACCTAAGGCAACTTAGAAGTTTCTCTGAGCCTCCTGTCTCGTCTGCAAGAAACAACCTCCGTTTTTGAGTGCCTACTTTATGCCATGTTTTTAACCTTCATCGTCTCACTGAACCCTCATTATAATCCTGTAAGGTATGTTTCATCATCCTCACTGTGACCAAAGTTAAAACTGGGCCCCGGAGAGATTAAGTCAGATGCCCAAGGAGACACTCATAGTTGCTGCATCTGAATCCAAAGGCTGCCTCTCCCGGGGATCATAATATCTTCCTCATAAAATTGCTGTGAGGACCAAAATAGATATGTCAAAAAGGGCTTAATCCAAATGATCAATAAATATTAGTTGGTTGTAATGTTGTTTTTTTTTTAAAATAATTTTATTTATTTTTGGCTGTGTCGGGTCTTCGTTGCTGCACACAGGCTTTCTGTAGGTGCGGCGAGCGGGGGCTACTCTTCGTTGCGGTGCGCGGGCTTCTCATTGCGGTGGCTTCTCTTGTTGGGAGCACGGGCTGTAGGCGCGCGGGCTTCAGTAGTTGTGGCACGTGGGCTCAGTAGTTGTGGCTCGCGGGCTCTAGAGCGCAGGGTCAGTAGTTGTGGCACACGGGCTTAGTTGCTCCATGGCATGTGGGATCTTCCCGGACCAGGGCTCGAACCCGTGTCCCCTGCATCGGCAGGCGGATTCTTAACCACTGTGCCACCAGGGAAGCCCTTGTAATGTTTTTTAGTTGGAGAGTTTAGAAGAAATTTGCTTCATTGTCTTATCTCGTTCTTACAAGTAAGGTTAGGCAACCACCTCACCACAAACTGGGGAATTCCCCCCAGTTCCAGCCCTTAAATTAGTGAGTGCGGAAGGACATAGAACAACTGTTTAGCCCTGCACACACCAAAATATGAATTAGGCTGCCTGAGATGTTTACTTCCAGAAGTAGAAATGAATGCTGTATAATATTCCAAAATGCCTGGCAGGGCATCCAGAACAGTACTGGCATATAGCAGGTACTCAAGAAAATTCTGTTGAACGAGTCCCATTCTCGGTCCTCAAGTGGCTTATAGTAGAGTTGGGGGAACACGATTTACATACAGAGAACAAGTCAACAACACATAAAAATAAAGACACTAGTGTTCTTTAAAAAAATAAAGAAAAAAGTGTATTGGGTATTTGCAAATTCATCCTAACAAGACTCCTTGGAAGGAGAATTGCATTAAAAAAAAATCAGCCATACGAACAACCATGGCAACAGTAAGTCAAAGTCATGGTTTAAATGATACCTCCTCAAGTGTTCCCTGGTGCCACGGTGGTTGAGAATCCGCCTGCCAATGCAGGGGACACGGGTTTGATCCCTGGTCCGGGAAGATTCCACATGCCGCGGAGCAACTAAGCCCGTGTGCCACAACTACTGAACCTGCACTCTAGAGCCCGCGAGCCACAGCTACGGAGCCTGCGAGCGGCAACTACTGAAGCCCGCGTGCCTAGAGCCCATGCTCCACAACAAGAGAAGCCACCGCAATGAGAAGCCCGCGCACCGCAACGAAGAGTAGCCCCCGCGCACCGCAACGAAGAGTAGCCCCCACTCACCGCAGCTAGAGAAAGCCCCCGAGCAGCAACAAAGACCCAACTCAGCCAAAAATAAATAAATAAATTTATTTTTAAAATAAATAAATAAATGATACCTCCTCAGAGAGGGTGTTCCTGACCACCTGGTCTGAAATAGCACCCCCTTTAATCTTGACCCTTTGACTCTGCTTTATTTCCTTCATAGCACTTACTACTACTGAATATTACGTTATCAATTTGTCTGTACTGTCCATCTCCTTCCATTATAACATAAAGTCCTTGAAGGTAGAAACTTTTTTTTGTTCCCTGCTATTTACCCAGCACCTAGAAGAGTTCCTGGCCCATTGTACCTGCTCAGTATATATCTGTGGCATGAATGAATGGCGGGGCTAGTGGATGTGATTTAAGCGAATGGTACAGATAACACCTGCTCTAAGGACTGGGATCTGACTGAAGGAGCTGGAGCATGCTTCCTGGAGTATGTTGGGCTTAGCCCCCAGATTATCCATTTGTATTCTGTCTCATCAACCAGAATGTGAGCTCCTCACAAGGGGGGACCACGTCTTCTCATCTCCATCCTTGGCACCCAGCACAAATCTTGGCACATAGTAAGAATACAATACGTACTCATTGAATAAGTAAAGAGGGCTGGATTCTCGGTTGGAAAAATGAAGAATTCCACATTCTATTTGAAAAGAAGAGATGCCCAAGCTCCCTGGAACCCAGACCCCAGGCAAAGGCATGGACTATGTGTTCTCCTTGTTCCAGGACCTAGCACACACCCGACCCTTCATTTGCCATTTCCCTCCCTGCCTGGCCCTGCCAGCCAGGAAATCTGACCACGGCAATGAGACGGCCTGGGAGCTGCCCCAGGGGGCTGGTGGTAAGGAAACAGCCATTGCTGCCTTACCTGTTGGCTGTCGGGTCCTTGCTTCTTTAAGGTAGTAGAGTGCTTTGTCATAGTCTCCAAGGTGGTAGAAGGCCACACCGGACCGGTAAAGGGCCTTGAAATTCTCCCCTTCTTTCTTCAGGACTTTGAGGCAGTACTCTTTGACTCGTTCATAGTTCACCAGCTCAGCCTGGAGCAGGCAGGCTACAGAGGAAGGGAGAAAGAAGGGAAAGTGCCATCAACACAACAGCAGCAGGCTCTGAATGTCTCTCTTTGGTTTTTCCTCTCTGACCAGAAAAGGTTTACGAGTGCTGGGGCTTTACGGTGGGGGTTTACGCCATGGTGTTTGTCATCAAATAATCCTGGGTTCTAGGATCCAGTTTCATCTTCAACAAGCTGTGTGGCTTTGAGCAAGCTACTTGACCTTGTATTATGGATTGAATTGTGCCCCCCGCCCCACTCAAAAGATATGTTGGAGTCCTAACCCCCAGTGCTTTAGAATGTGAGCTTCTTTGGAAATAGGGTCTTTACAAAGGTAATCAAGTTAAAAGGAGGTCATTAGAGTGGGTTCTAATCCAATCTTACCAGTGTCCTTATAAAAAGGGTACGATAGACTGAATGTTTGTGTCCCCCCGAACATTCACATGTTGAAAACTAATTCCCAGAGTGACAGTATTTGGAGGTGAGGTCTTTGGGAGGTGACTAGGTATTGAGGGTGGGGCCCTTATGACTGGGATTAGTGCTCTTATAAAAGAGACCCCAGAGAGCTCCCTCACCCCTTCTGCTGTGTGAGGACACAGTGAGACAACAGCCATCTATGAACCAGGAAGTGGGCCCTCACCAGACACTGAATCTGCGGTGTCTTGATCTTGGACTTCCCAGCCCCTAGAACTATGAGAAATAAGTGGTTGTTGTTTGAGCCACACCCACTGTACAATACTTTTGTTACAGCAGCCCAGAGAGACTAAGACAAATGAGAAGTTTGGACACCAAGACAGACACACAGGAAAGAGGATGTGAAGAGACACAGGGAGAAGACGGCCACCTACAAGCCAAGGAGTGCCTGGGGCTACCTGAAGCTAGGAGAGAAGCAGAGCTCTCGGAAGGAACCAACCCTACCGACACCTTGATCTTGGACTCCTAGCCTCCAGAACCATAAGACAGAACATATCTATTGTTTAAGCCATCAGTCTGTGACACTTTTGTTGTGGCTACTGTAGGGGCAAGCCACAAGAGGCAATGACAATACTAACCTTGGCCAATATTTGTCAAATGCTTCCCTTGTGCCGGATGCTTGCTTCGTTGCTTTACTTGTCTCACCTGATAGAATCTTTGGGATACCATAACGAAGGTCCAAGTATTATTCCCATTTTACAGATGAGGAAGCTGAGGCCCAGAGAGGTTTAAGTAACTTCCCAAGGACACACAACATGAAAGAGGCAAGGCTGAGATTTAAATCAAAACTGTCCAGCTCCAGAGCCCAAGTTCCTTACTGAGCTGTTGAAGGGATTATATAAAATGATGGCACAGTATTTGACACAGGGCTTGGCACATAGCAAACACCCACACTGTTACTTCATGTAATTATAATTCTTTGCAGCCCCTGCAGTCCTGTGGTGACAACTGCCTCTGACTTTCCTCAAGTTCTCTTCGACACGTTTGTCTCTGCAGTCCCTGGGAGCAGGGGCCTCTGATGGGCTAGTGACCAGCCTTATACAGAGCACACCTCTGGGCGTGAGAGACGTGGTGGTCCCAGGCGAGAGGAAGCTGAGGCTGGCAGGTGCCTATGTGGGGCTCCTTCCTATTCCAGAGTAAGTTATCTCTGAGTAAACCGTCTCCCCCTTGAAGCTTTCTCTCACCAGCGATCAGTCACAGGGCCAGGGCTAGGGCGAGGGTGAGGAAGCTTGTACCCTTGAGTGAGCACCTCCTTACATACCGTGCCCTAGGGGCCTCACTTGCCTCACCCTAATCCCAGCCCTGCTGAGCTACCTCCGCCTCCATTCCATCCCTCAAGCATTCAGTAGGCGTTGACTAAAGGCAAAGAGGGGTGTCAAACACACTGGGGGAATTTTTTTAAAGGGGGTGGGGTGGGGTGGCGGAAGGGCACCTGTCTGCTTCTTCAAAGTGAATGAAAACAGACTTAGCAGGTCAAACTGCTGCTTCCTGCCAAGACCTGGCTGGTGGGACGTGGGAGGATGCTGATGCGCTGCTCCTTTGCACTCAGGTTTCTCCCACATTGCAAGAACCATCCTCGGGATAGAAGCAAGTCACTGATTTTAATCTACAGGGGTCTAACTTCAGCTGTTTTGATTCCTTAAATAACTTCCCAGGGATGTGAACTGCTGATTAAGAGACCAGATCTTTCATCGGGCATTTTAGACAAAAAAAACAAAAACAAAAAAAAAAACCCAAACAAAAAACATCCTTTTGCAGGCTGAGTTGAAGCTATGACAACCAGGAAGTGGCAGAGAATCAGCCCAGATCTGCAAATTGACCCATCACATTCCACTCGCTACAGGGCAGGAAGCCAAACAAGTCGACAGAAGCAGCAGGCTGCTAACCCCTTGGGCATGGGCGCGGGTGGCTGTGGTCTCAGAGACACGCAGACCTGCTGGCACACTAGGGGTCCACCCTGCCGAGCTGATGCCACCAGCTCCCTGCCCTCTCTTCCCTCAGCTGTGGGGTGGAGGCCCCCCTGCCCCCCTGCCCTACCCCGTTGCTGCTGGAGTTTGCGTTGGTGCTTTCACAGCTCTGCCGACAGGGAGGGCTTCTGTCATGAGGTTCCCGTCTGGGAACCTCACTGGCTGCTACCTGTGTGAGACTTGGCTCCAACAGCTGCCCCCAGAACTGAAGGGTTTCCTGTCCAAGCTTCCACAGGCCATCTCGTGTCCTCTGTTCTCAGCTGAGAGCCCTCTTCCTGTCCAGCCCTCCATCCTCAGGCACTTCTGTTTGCTGACCTGTGTAGTCTAGGAAATGGATCTTTGTTTGTTTTAAAAGTTTCTGAATGTCTAAAACTGGGGTGGGGGGGAAGCAAAAAGGCCTGGAAACGGGAAAGTCCTCCCGCTAACACACCATCCCCCCACCTTGGGCAAAAGAAGGATAGCAGTCGATTTCCAGGACTCATTCAGTGAAAATGTATGGAATTCCCCTGCAGATCTAGTGTGAACTGTGAGACCTGGTTGTGGACCCGGGTTCAGACCGCAGGGGAGGTGGGGCCCGGCAGGTTACAGGGTGTGGAGGCCCTATTGGCACCAGAGGCAGAGCCCAGGGAGATGGAGAAATCTGGAGTTAGCTCGGGTCCAGATGGGCTGCCTTCCCAAAAGTCTGCACCGAGAGGGGGAATCCAGATAAGAAACAAGGGGTGGCAGGCCAGAGCTCTTAAGAAGGCCCAGGGTGGAGGAGGTGAGAGACAGTCTGGACTGCACTCAGCCCTACCTGCAGGTGATTTTTATGTACCTCTCTTGTTTGGGTGGGGAGTTATCTGGGGTACATATAACAAGCCCATGGGATAAGTAAAATGGGATGTTTGTAGGCACATTTTATTTTTTTTATTTTTATTTTTTTGCGGTACGCGGGCCTCTCTCTGCTGTGGCCTCTCCCGTTGCGGAGCACAGGCTCCGGACGCGCAGGCTCAGCGGCCATGGCTCACGGGCCCAGCCGCTCCGCGGCACGTGGGATCTTCCCGGACCGGGGCACGAACCCGCGTCCCCTGCATCGGCAGGCAGACTCTCAACCACTGCGCCACCAGGGAAGCCCTGTAGGCACATTTTAGAGCCGAAGAAGTTAAGGAGGAGAGGTTGACCAGCAGTCTCCTGATGTCTCTTCCACGTTTCTCTGCCTGCTACCCAGGGCCTGGGGGCTGCAGGAGGCCCTGAGACTAGGTCATTTTGTCCCATTGCCCTTTCTTCCTCTCTGTCGTTAATCCCTTACCTTGTGTCAGAGGATACCTTACCTTACCTCAGTACCTTACATATACTACGTGTTTTCATCTTCACAGCAAATCTATGAAACAGGTTCTCCGTTATGCTTCTTTTACTGATGATGAAACCCAGTTCCAGAGAAAGTAAGTAACGTGCTGGAGGTCACTCAACTAGGAGGTGGCAGAATTACGATATCCTCCCACTTCTGCCTGGCTCCCAAGACTGTGCTCTTGCCCATGGGTACCTGTGGGTCTACATGTGAAGCCTTTAGAAACCACATCACCCCTTGTAAAAGACAGGGCACCCGTGTAAACAGCCTTCCTCTGTGTCCCAGGGTCTACAAAACAAAAATTAACTGCACAGAGCAGTGTACAGGGCACTGGGATGAGGTGGTGAACCAAACCCCCTGCCCCATCCTGGAGCTGACGGACTGCTGGGGAGGGCAGATGGTGCATTATCTCAAATACCCCCGTATGCCAAGAGCTGTGAAGGAGAAGTGATGAGAGGGAGCCTCCTGAGGGGGGAGGGCCCTAAACCAAGATCGAGTATCATGGGAGGCTTCTTGGAAGAAGCGGTATTTAAGCTGGGTTCCAAAGGTTGAGTGTTTCTCAACCTCAGCACCATAAATATTTTAAGCTGGGTAATTTTTTGTTAGGGGGGGGATGTCCTGTGCATTGTAGGATGTTTAGCAACATCCTTGTGTTCTACCCACTAGATGCCAATTGTGACAAGCAAAAAAATGTCTCCAGATATCGCCAAATGTCCCCTGGAGGGGGGCGGGAGGAATCACGCTTGTGTGAGAACAGTTGATGTAGGTGGAAAGGAGAAAAAGCTTTCTATGTGTCGGGGGAGGGAGGGAGGGAAGGATGGAGGAAGGAAGGAGGAAGGAAGGAAGATGGAAAGAGAGAGAGCGAAAAGAAAGAAAGGAAGGAAGGAAGGAAGGAAGGAAGGAAGGAAGGAAGGAAGGGAGGGAGGAAGGGAGGAAGGAAGGAAGATAGAAAGAAAGAGAGATTATGGCTTATTTGAGGAGGTTTGAGTAGCCAAGCTCAGCTGCAGCAGAAAGACTGAAGGGAAGGGTAAAAGGGAATAAAGCTAGAGAAGCAAGATGAAACCAGGACACACAGACCCTTCTGGTTCATGTTGAGGATCTGGGACTTTATTCTTAGGGCAAGAGCGGATTTGGATGATAAAATGATTGTGACTCGGTTGACTCAAGCTGAGGCAGAAAGGCAGGAGAAAGGGATTCATTCAAGCGGCACCCAGGAGTCAGAACTGACTAGCATT